ATATAATCAAGATACAATCAAGATGTTCTCTCCTAATCCTGTCAATCCTGGTACAATCAAGATAAGCTTTCTCAAGATGGCGGCTCCTGGAACAGCTCATGAACATAGACTCAAAAATTCTCAACCAAATTTTAGCCAATAGAATTTAACAGCATATAAAAAAACATAATACATACAGGCAATATACAATAAGAGGGAAATAAAAAATTTTAAAGAGGCAGGGGAAGACACTGAGAAGAGTGCAAGATTTAAAGCCAACAGAGGTAAGTACTATTTATATAAACTCATCCTTCAATAATAGTGATCTATAGAGGATTCATGGAGTCCTGGTGTAGGGCTTTTGGATAAGTATTGGACTGCTAACCACTCAGTTGGTGGTTTAAACCTACCAGCTGCTCCTTGGAAACTCTATGCAGGGCCATGATGAGTCAAAACTAACTCGATGGCACTTAACAACAGAAAAAACAATAGAGTATTCATTCATGGAAAGACATGCAAGTTGAATGGGTGTGGGAAGGAGAGTGGGACCATATCCATCAATATATATATAGGTTTGACAAGATACTTCTACATGTGTATTTGCCTATGTGGAGTCCTGGTGTGGCGTTGTGGGTTAATGTGCTGGACTGCAAAGTCAGTATGAATGGCAAGATTGGCAGTTCAAGCTTACTAGCTGCTCCTCAGGAACCCTATACAGGGTTACTGTGGGTTGGAATAAACTCGATGGCACTTAACCACCACCACCACAACAACAACAATTTACCTATGTTGTAAATATATTCATCAACGCAGTGGAGCATACAGGCAGCAAAGTTATTAAACCTCTTATATATGATCAAACACCTTGGCTGAAGGAATGGGTCTGGGAGCTGAAGACCATAGTCTTGGGGGACACCAAGGTCAATTGGCTTATTCTAGAAAAACAATGTTCTACATCCTACTTTGGTGAGTAGCAACTGGAGTCTTAAAAGCTTGTGAACAGCTCTCTAAGGTGCAACAAACTATTGATCTCTTCACATCTGGAGCAAAGAAGAGTGAGGAAAATCAAAGATGCATGGAAACAATTAGTTCAGTGCATTAATGGACCATGTAAACATCAGTCAGTCTCCATGATCCTGGGACCAGAAGAACTAGGTGGTGCCTGGCTCTGAAAAAGGTCATAGTAGATGGTTCCAAATAGAGTGGGAGAAAAAATTGGAACAAAACTAACAATCATAATAAAGACTAAGCTTATTGGTTAAATAGAGACTGATGGAACCCGCCAAGACTATGGCCCTTAGTTACCCCTAAGGTCACGAAATTAATTCATCCCCATTGCTCAATTTTCAGCCAAACAATAGACAGAGCTATAAGACGAACAGTGACACTAGGGAGGATACCCACTCCTTAGAATAATCAATCATTTTAGATCAAAAAGACAGCATTTACCATGGACAAAGTTCAGAAGGGCTTGGAAAGAAGGAGGAATGGACACGGGAAATGCAGTGTAGAGAGGAGATAATTCATGTTATATTGTAGGGGTTGCTATCAATGTCATGAAACAAAATGTACATGAATTGTTGAATGGAAATTGATTTGCTCTGTAAATTTTCAGTCAAGTCACAATAAAAAAAGTTTAAAAATCAATAAAATAAAATATCACTTGTGTAAGTAAGAAAAAGAATAAAGAAATGCAAAGTAAATTGAGGACATGAAAGTAAATTCAATGAATGCATAAATAACTAAATAATTGATCATTTAAAAATAATAATACATAATAACCAACTGGAATTCCTACCAAGTATGCAAGGATAGTTCAACATTAGAAAATCAATCAACATAACTCACCACATAAATAAAACAAAGGAATGATACAATAATCTCAACCAACACAGAAAAGGCATTTGATAAAGCCCAACACTCATCACTGTTGAAAATTCTCAGCAAAATAGAAATATAAGGGAAATTTCTCCACATAATAAAGGACAGTTCTACAAAATCAGCAAGCCAGCATTATTCTCAATGAAAAGAGACTGAAGACATTGCCCCTTGTGAATGTTCAACACTCTTATTCAACATTTTACTGGAAGTCTTAATAGAGCAATAAGAAAAGAAAAGGAAATAAAGAACATTTAAATTGGTAAGAAAGAAGTAAAACTATCCATATTCACAGATTATATGATCCTATACATAGAAAAATCATAAAGACTCCACAAGACAGCTACTGGAACTAATAGAAACACTCAGCAAAGTAGCAGGATATAAGATCCAACATACAATGATCACTTGGAATACTCTACACCAATAAAAAGAACTTTAGAAAGGAAATCAGGAAAGAAATACCATTTAAAATAGCCTCTCAAAGATAAAATACATAGGAATAAATTCAACCAAGGATGTAAAAAACATATAAAAAGAAAACTATGAAGCATTACTGCAAGAAATCTACATAAATGGAAAAGCATACCATGCTCATGAATAGGAAGACTTAACATTGTGAAAATTTCAATGCTATCTAAACAATCTGATTACAATCAAACTACAACAGCATTCTTCAACAATATAGAAAAACTAATAACTTTATATATAAAGGAAAGAGGTCATGGATACATCTTTCCTATATACATATATATACAAAGTACATATATAGTAAAGCATTCATCATTAAAGAAGAATAAATGCAACATGACCAAGGCAAAGGAAGTCACTACGAGGAATGCAAGAATAAAGGGCAACTATGCGTAGTAGCATAGTGGTCACGAATCGGGCTGTGAACTGCAAGGCCAGCAGTTCGAAACTACCAGCTGTTCTGCAGGAGAAAGATGAGGTTTTCTGCTCCCGTAAAGATTTATAGCCTCGGAAACCCTGTGCAGGGTCGCTATGAGTTGGAACCGACTCCATGGCACATAACAACAACAACACGCGTAGTGGTTACGAATTGGGCTGAAAACTGCAAGGTCAGCAGTTTGAAACTATCAGCTGTTTCGTGGGAGAAAGATGAGACTTTCTGTTCCTGTAAAGATTCACAGCCTTGGAAACTCTGTACAGGGTCGCTATGAGTCAGAACGGATTCCATGGCACATAACCACCACCACCATGGTAATTACTAAGGAGCTCTGGTAGCATAGTGGTTCCAAATTGGGCTGTTAATATCATGGTCAGCAGTTCAAAACTATCAGCTGTTCCATGGGAGAAAGAGGAGGCTTTCTGCTCCCATACAGATTTATAGCATTGGAAACTCTGTATAGGGTAGCTATGAGTAGGATGCCCCTTCCCCAATCCCAGAGACCCTTTTATGCATTCTTCCAGTTTTGTTCCCATACTAATAGAACCACATAGAGACCCCAAAAATTAACATTCTGAAGCAAATTTATATTATTCATAAAAGACATGTGGACTATTGAGGTAATGTCTTACCAATTATTTGGTGGTTGCTATTCCAAATCGGGACGCAGAGAACAGATCTTATGTGAAAACCAGATATCTGATCAGCCTAGATATAAGAAAGAAGATAATTGAAATTAAATATTAACTACCCATGGATGATTTACAATTTATCACTCATCATAAAAGATATTTGAAAATAACTTTCTTATGACAGTATTTTCATTTAAAATGTCACAATGAATATCCCAAGGAAATCAAACCCTTATCAACAAAAACACTCCAACCAAACACTACCTCATCCAATTCCTGCAGCCATTAAGAGATGGATTTAAACCTAACTCAATGATAATTACACCACCAGACAAGAATTTTGGTAATTATTTCTGTTTTCAGTAATTTAAGCATTCTAATGAAACCAGTTGTCTCCATTGTTCTTTGATTGGGGTTATCTGTTAGCAAAAATGTTTAAGCATATAATGCTTGCCACATGTGTATGTACTTTTAATACTCTATAGGTTTCCTATTACTAATTTATTATGTATGCTGTAAAATCTCATGCAAAAAATAGAAATTACAAATGATTATTGTTGTTCTTAAGTGCCATCGAGTCGATTCCAACTCATGGTAACCCTGCATAGGGCTTCTGTGGAGGTGCTGGTGAGCTTGAACTACAGACCTTGTAGTTCAAATCAACCTTACAGTCCAGCGCATTAACCCACAGCATCACACTAAGATCTGATCTTGTGTGTATCCTAATTGATTCTCAGAAGATGACAGATTTAAAATACAAAAGTTTAATTATTAGCATTTAAAATGATTTTATAAGAAGCTCCACTTAATGTGAAAAACAATGGTCTACATTCAAATTGTTAGGATTTGCTAAGACAGGATGGTTAGGAGAAAAAGAAATATTATAGGATAAGAAATATATCAATGTTTTAAACACAACTTCTGTGTTGTTGTTAGGAGCTGTTGAATCTTATAGTGTCCTTATGTACAGCAGAATTAATTACACATCACCTAGTTCTGTACCATCCTCATAATCATTGCCTGTTTGAGCCCATTGTTGTAGCCATTTTGGCAATCTATCTCATTGAGGGCCTTTCTCTTTTTCATGGACCCTGTCTTTTCCCAGGGACTGGTCCCTCCTGATAACATGTTGATAATACATGAGACCATCCTTGCTTCAAAGTAGCATTCTAGCTGTATTTCCAAGACAAATTTATTTGTATTTCTGGCAGTCCAGAGTACATTCAATGTTTTACACCAACACAATAATTCAAATGCATTCATTCTTGTTGTTTTAAGTGCCATTGAGTCAGTTCTGACTCATAGAGACCCTGTATAGCAACCTAGTAGTTCAAACTAACCTTGAAGTCCAGTGCCTTCTTTATCCCACAGTTCCACACCTGGACTCCTCTAGAGTCTTCCTTATTCATTATTAAGCTTTTATATGCATATGTTGTTGCTGTTAAGTGCAGTCAAATCAGTTCTGACTCATAGTGACCTCATATTTCCAAGGAGCAGCTAATGAAATCGCAGGTTAATTTATAAGCCTAGATTTTATATTTGGATGTCTTTCCTTATTGGTTTTCCTTTTTAGAAATTTATTTTCCAGATGTTTTCTATTTTTGATACCAATATATTGATGTCTATTTTT